CACAATTTTTAAAAATTAAAAGCAAAAACAAAACAAAAATTAAATAAACATTTAAAACAGAGTGTGCACTGTGCAAATGTACATGCATGCCTGAAAATAATTCTATCCCCTATGCCAATCCAACCCTTTGTAGTTGTAGTTAAATGCTGTATATTCACAAAAGATACAATATATAATGTACACATCCTTTGGAAGTCAGACCTGACACTTTAAAATCACTTCTTTTTAGCCTTCTAAAGCAGCAAACCACTCTTCTCACAGGCATCCTTCTTCTGGCCGTGTCTCAGTAGTATTTCAGCAAACTGAAGCGTCACCTCTCACCATCACCACACACACAAGTTTAAGCGGGTCTTGCTGGGCACACATTTAAGTTAGTGGGAACTGCTGCAGCCATGATTCTTGGGAAATGGTTGAGTGTGTGGAAACAAATACACTGCCCTGCCTTAGGTACATCTGCATGTGAACATTGGGTGGCTATCATAGTAACTTGTTTGGTATTCCTGGTGGAGTCAATGGAAGAGCCAGTTACTCCCAATACTAAGTGTGTGCCATCTTGCACTGGCAGACCCTATGGCTGAATGTCCCCTTGGCTCCGTGGAAGGGCTGCAGGGTTTGAGCCATGTTCCTTTCCCTTGGGTTTGATTCTGACGGGATCTTAGGCACCGCGTAGCTCTCAAGTGTTGTGTGTTGTCCAGTTTGTGTCTTTGGCAGCAACCACTCTTTCTATTAAATGAAGTTACAGATGGAGATTCCAGATGTGACCAAACTACTTTTATAAAGACAATAGAGAAGTCCAAGTTTTTCTTCTCAGCACAATCAAGAGAGAGGGGCGGCTTTGTCTTTGCAACACTGCAGAGTTGTATCACATGACTGGAAAATTGTCTCCCTGAGCATAGAGAGAATTTGTTAACCCAGAATGCAGCTTGGAAAATGGTGAGGTAAAGCAGAAAGGAAGAAGGAAATGGCTGTTTTACATGACCAAAATGTACTATAATTATGTCAACTTAAAACAGCTTCCTTAGAAGACCTGATAACTCTCCAGTCAGAGTAAGCCATGTGTCATGTAGCTACAATTGCATATATTCCTGTGCAAAGTATGGCACACCATCTATGCTAGGCACAGTGGAAGGGACACTGCTCTCTGAGCTCAGTGTGTTTGGTCCTCTGACTCCTTCGCAAGTCTCGCTGTTCAGAGTGCCCTCCTCTCCTCCGATTTGCTCATACAGCGCAGGCGCCTTTGTGTCTCCTGCCCACCATGAGTGGCGCACCATTCATCAGACGGTCAATCTGCATGAATCGCTCCTGGTCATCCCACTGACCACTCTTAAGTGCCTGGTCTAAAATGGAATTGAGAACTAGTGAAGTGCAATCACAGATTTTTTTTAGCCCAAAGAGATCCTTTCCTTGTTTTTCCTTTTTGCAAAGTACTATTTTTCATCAGCAACAGTCACTCCACAGAAAGTTCATCTCCTGCATCAGGATAGTAGTATTAATAAAACTCACTGGCTGGCAGCTGACATTCCAAAATGCCATTTCTAGACATTATGACTTGTATTGACAACATCTCTTTACATGTCTCCTTCTCATAAGCCACACATTTCTAAAATGTAGAACCATGTCTAAAATGCAAAACATAGACCCCAAGGAGTAGAGTACATGTGGCATAATAGTGCTCAATACTCACATTAATTCAATGTAAAATTGATTGCAACTATGACTTTTTTATTCTTAAAAAAGAAAAGGAATTTCATCTAAGAAGTAAAGTGCCTATACTTCTAATAGCCTGGTTAGTAGTGTACATTTGTACAAACCCACATAGTATCTGAATTAGTCAATATCTTAGAAAAAACTGGAGTTTTTTTAACCTCAGCAGTTAAAGAGAGGTTAATTTTGACTATAATTTAAATGTGCATTGGTCTATCTGCTGACTCACAGTACTGCCTGGAAGCATGTTCACACATCTGTAAGATGACCACCCAGAGAGCTGAAGTACTTAGCTTACTCAGGAAAAGATAAATATCTTCTACTGGGCTTTGGTTCTCCTCACCTGGATACCCTCCTCTGAGCCTGACTAGGTCTGCATCCGTCCTGAGCAAGCATGTGCTAGCAGAGCATCATGGCATCTTCCTGAGGGAAACCCAGGAAGCCTGCTAATGTGGAGGAATGCTTCCCTAATTTCTCCATTAGGAAGCACAGCTTTCCCTCAGGGCCTTGGCACATTTCCCCACCTGGACTGCTGTTGCCTCTGTTTGCCTATGGAGTCCCATGAGGACCAGCTCAAGTACTCTTTCCCTTTGTGAATCTCTTCCTGAGCCTTCACAGAGAGCAGTAATCCCACCACAGCCCCGAACACCCGGATAATACCATGCCCATGGTACTTAACATTTCAGGTATTTGGGGTTACTAAGGACTCTTAAATTTTCAATTTTGTTTTCTCACCTTTTTATCATGCTTCTTAAAGGTGGACGTAATGTACTGAACCATTGTGAAATTAAGAAAAAACTTGGCAGTTTAAAAGAAAAGCATCTACAAAAGAATTTGACTGATATAAAGGTATTTAATGAAAGACTATTACAGATATCATGAGAAACATGTATGTACATGTAATGCTTTTACAATAAGTGAAAATCTTTTAAATAATTTTATTAAACAGTTACAATAGAAGAGTTTTCGATTTCTCTATTAAACATGAGAAAATGCGTCATAAGCAGCAATGAACTCAGGCCACAGATATGCAAATGAAGAAATGGGAGTGGTCATTTGGACTAAACCAAAATTCCAATACTTTGGAAATTGCTCTGTATGCTACATGGCTATTTGTCGTACAAACCCATAAATGATTCTCCTATTGCATTACTTTCTGTGTAGTGTTAAATTATTTTAAAATACAAAGTTATCTTATCTATCTGATGTAGTCTAGAAATGCCGAAACCATCAAGTCTTGTTCTTAGTCTAGACAGACCTCTTTCTGAGTCCTTCCATCTAGTGGTATATACACACAGGTGCCCGTCTGCATCTAAAACAGGCTGAGTGAGCCAGATGTCTCGGTTCATACTCCTCTGATAAGTTCTGTATATTTAGTTTTTGTTCATGCATGCATGTGTGTGTGCATATGTGTGTGCATGTTTCTGTGTATGCATGCACACATAACAACCTTGGATGTCATTCCTCAAGTACAATCCATCTTGATTTTTGGAGGCAGAGTTTCTCACTAGGCTTGGTGCTTGCCAAGCAGGAGAAACTGGTTGGCCAGCGAGCCACAGGAATCCCCGTCTCTACCTCTCTGGTGCTATAAATCTGAGCGTGCACTAGCACTCCTGGCTTTTTCACGTGGGTCCTGGGGATTGAAGTTGGGTTCTTACGATTTCACAGCAAGGGGCTCACAGATTAAGTATCTGCATAGCCCTGCACCGTTTAAATTTAAGAGTGTAGCTCTTGTTCAGAAACTAAGCTTCTAAATTGATTGTGCCAGCACAGCTGCAACTGTGACTAAAAGTCCCACAGTACTAAGACGAATATGACATTTTAAAGTTTAACAACAGCCAACACAGTGTTGTGGAATATTGCTTGCTGTGTTAAAGTTGAGCAGGAGACCATGCTGAAATATCAACAGAAAATGAGTTAAACAGAAGACTTCCCAAATTTGCACACCTTTACATGCCTGCTGCTCTGAATCCTGGCATCATGCCCTCGCACTGAGGTTACTTCTGCCTTCACAATTGTTCTCCACTCCATGCTGCCCCTCTATACTACTCAGTCAGTCCATGCACATTAGGTTAGGGACTTGTTTGTGCCAGGAACTTTTCTGGAAGATTCACTGACATATCTCTAGACAGATGCTGCCCTGACCCCCAAAATTATCACCTTTCCACGTTACAAAATCCAATGTAACTTCAGCTTTACTTCAGTTGCCCAGTGCGTTTTAGCAGAGTGATACATTCACTCTTGTCTGTAATGAGTCTGGGTTTTAAGCACAATTCCCCAGAGATTACAATGATAAGGAGCGTTATCCCTAGAAGAAGAAGTGTGACTATCATGATAATGGCATGAAAAGTACTTTGAACTAGATGATATCAGAATTAACTCTGAAAAGCACCTACAAGAGGACAAGAAGGAAGCAGGTGAAATTATGGCAGGAATCAGAGGAGGAATAATGGCCTTAAATCAGAATTTAGGATAAAGAGCTAAAAATGAAGGGTAAACAGACAGATAAGCCAGAGAATGGATTAAAACTGGCACGTGATAAAATGAATATTTATTATCATATCTTTAGAAATAGACCTCAGGGCAAACACAGGAAAAGTTAAACTGCCATATTGGAGGCTTCTGCATTTAGTAGGCTACAGTGGAAGAGAAATGATTATACCAAGGAAACAGAATGTAAAAGAGGATGACTCAGAAATGGAGCACATCTTCACTGAGCACCAACTATGTGCAGAGTATTGCACTTGTGCAAAGACCTTGTCCCATGCTGAAGTCACGATGGTAAATTGTAACAGAATTAGTTCCAAGTTCACCCTTGGAGTCTAACTTACACCATATTAATTCCTCTGTACTTTTAAACCTTTTTATTAAATGTCTATTAGGTAACATTAATTAAAGTTTTATCTTTGTATTTCTTTCATACATATCTTCACATTTCTGAAATATGTATTAAAACAATGTGTTGCATCTGTGCATTCTATTCTCTCTCTCTCTCTCTCTCTCACACACACACACACACACACACACACACACACACAATCTAAATGCCTTAGGATATGTCTGCTTGGCTGAGAAACCAAAATATGGGCCCTAGTAAAGTACAAAGGGCCATTAATAAGGTAATAACAGAAACAAAGTAAAGGTTACATAAAAAAATAAATCAATGAAATCCATAGTAACCGTGAGAATATTTTAAATCACTCTGGAAAAGCTACATCTCTAATATTTTAAAAACAAGAAAAGCCATTTGGCCAAATTTTAATTTTTTTCTGTTGTTGCTTGATTTTTTTCCCTAGGTTCCAGGTCCAAAGAAGCAAAACGGACCCACAAAGTTATAAAAGCTTAGGAGACTGCTTTCGGACGATCTTCCGAAGAGAGGGGTATGTGATGTCTTTCCTACATGGACTGCATATTGATATGGTTGTTATAATGTATTTCTACTTGACACATTTTCTTGCTTTTCAATAGTTTTGCTTTCCAGTCCTAGTCTTAGTAGGGAAAACAGTTTTAAAAGTATGCCTTCATATTTTGTTATAGTTTTCCTAATTTGAATGAGAACTGAATATGTATATAGTGAAAACTACTCCAGATAATATTAATAACCAATCTGATGACATAGTGCAACTTCTAACTTATGATACTAGGGTTATGAAGTTTTCTTAATTGTTTTATCTAAACGCAATAGTTATTTTTTCTTTGGGACTTAAATATAATACTCAAGTTCATGCTTTGTTTACATAGAGGTTTAAGAATCTATAATCTTGCCGGGTGGTGGTGGCGCATGCCTTTAATCCCAGCACTCAGGAGGCAGAGGCAGAAGGATCTCTGTGAGTTCGAGGCTGGGCTGGACCGATAGCCTCCAAAACAATACAGAGAAACCCTGCCTCTTAAAAAAAAAGAATCTATAATCTTGACCCTCTCTGCCGTTCTCTCTAACCCATCTCCATTCCTTAGAGTCAGCTGCCCCTCCTCAGAATCACTTTCCACCAGGGACCCTTAGTGACTGTCCTGAACTAGGACTCAGTACACAACTTTCATTATCCTTCTTGTACTCTGTTACCATTCTAGCAGTCAGCTTGCAGGAGCCCCTTCTCCCACTCTGTCTCTATTCCTAGGGAAATCCACCTCTTGATGCAGACCTCAGTCTCCTTAGCTCTTTCTGGTTACCCCTCTCAGTATCTCTTCCTAGCCCATTTCCCATCCCTTCTATCACTATCAGACCTACAAGAAGCATTCTCTACAAGGGATTCCAAAGACACCACACTTGACTAGAATCCTGAGAGGGCAAGAGCAACCAAAGAACAGACTACTTACCCAACAAAGACAAGCCCAGATGTTGACACTGTAAGAAGCCAGGCAATATGCTGGCCTGCCCCGTCACCTGACAGAATGCACTCAGGCAGTACCCTGGTCAGCACGCAGCTGCGAAGGGCCCCTTTGAAAGAAAGACCCCCACCCACTTACAATCTCTTTCCTGCTGTTCCCCTGGAGCAGACAGGACATTTCCTGACTCTCTTCTGTCCTCTCTCTGTCTCCCTGTCTCTGCACCTATTTTTTCTTTCTTTGCCCCCTTCCCCTTTCTTTATTTCTTCTCTGCTGTGCTCCACTTCATTTCTTTCCACTTTTGAAATTTAAATTATAGGCAAGATTGCTTCACATGTCAATATCAGCTCCCTTTCTCTCCCCTCCTCCTGCGGCCCCCACCAAACCCCCAGAGCCCCCCATCCCCTCTCTGCTCTCCAGGGAGGGTGAGGCCCTACATAGAGGATCTCCAATGTCTGTCATATCATCCTGGGCAGGGCTTAGGTCCTCCCCCATGTATCCAGGCTAAGAGAGCATCCATCTACGTGGAATAGGCTCCCAAAGTCAGGGATAAATACTGACCATGAGGCTCCATAGATTGCTGAGGCCTCCTCACTAATACCCTTGCTCAGGGGGTCTGGATCAGTCCCATGCTAGCCCCTCAGTCATCAGCCTGGGGTCCATGAACTCCCCTTTGTTCAGGTCAACTGTTTCTGTGGGTTTCACCAGCCCGTTCTTGACCCCTTTGCTCATCACTACTCCCTATCTGCAACTGGGTTCCAGGAGTTCAGTTTAGTGTTTAGCTGTGGGTGTCTGCCTCTGCTTCCATCAGTCACTGGATGAAGGCTTTAGGATGGCATATAAGATAGTCATCAATCTCATTACTGGGAAAGGACATTTAAGGTAGCCTCTCCACTATTGCTGAGATTGCCAGTTGGTATCATCCTTGTAGATCTCCAAAAATCTCACTAGTGCCAGATCTCCTATTATGGTATCTCTCATCTTGTTCTCTTCTATTCTCCCCCGACTCAACCTTCCTGCTCCCCCATGTCCTCCTCTCCCCTCCTCTTCTCCCCCTTTCTTTCTCCCAACTCCCTCTCCCCTCCCTTCCCCCCATGCTCCCAATCTACTCAGGATATCCTGTCTCATTCCCCTTCTCCAGGATACCATGTATATCTCTCTTAGGGTCCTACCTGTTTCCCAGACTCTCTGGTGGTGGTATTGTGGGCTGGCAATCCTCTGCTCCATGTCTAAAACCCATATAGGAGTGAGTACATACCATGTTTGTCTTTTTGTGTATGGGCTACGTCACTCAGGATGGTTTCTTCTAGTGCCATCCATTTGCCTGCAAATTTCAATATTCCATTGTTTTTTTTCTGCTGAGTAGTACTCCATTGTGTAAATGTACCATATTTTCTCTAACCACTCTTCAGTTGAGGGGCATATAGGTTGCTTCCAGGTTCTGGCTATTACAAATAATGCTGCTATGAACATAGTGGAACAGGCACCCTTGTTGTATGAGTGTGCATCTTTTGGGTATATGCCTAAGAGTGGAATTGCTGGATCTTGTGGTAGACTGATTCCCATTTTCCTGAGAAATCCCCATACTGATTTCCAAAGTGGCTGTGGAGGAGTGTTCCCCTTTCTCCACATCCTCTCAAGCATAAACTGTCATTGGAGGTTTTGATTTTAGCCATTCTGGCAGGAGTAAGATTGTATCTCAGAGTTGTTTTGATTTGCATTTCCCTGATGGCTAAGGATGTTGAGCACTTTAAGTGTCTATCAGCCATTTTAGACTTCTCTATTGAGAAGTCTCTATTTAGTTTTGTAACCCACTTTTTAATTGGTTCATTTGGTGTTTTGGAGACTTGCTTCTTGTGTTCATTGTGTATTTTGGGAATCAGCTCTCTGTCAGATGTGGGGTTGGTGAATATCTTTTCCCATTCTGTAGGCTGCCGTTTTGTCTTGTTGACTGTGTCCTTTGCCTTGCAGAAGCTTCTCAGTTTCAGGAGGTCCCATTTATTAATTGTCGATCTCAGTGTCTGTGCTACTGGCATTATGTTCAGGAAGCTGTCTTCTGTAACAATTCGTTCAGGGGTACCTCTTCTCTTTCTCTTCTAACAGGTTCAGTGTGGCTGCATTTATGTTGAGGTCTTTGATCCATTTGGACTTAAGTTTTGTGCATGGTGATAAACATGGATCGATCCGCATTCTTCTACATGCCAGCATCCAGTTATGCCAGCACCATTTGTTGAAGATGCTTTCGTTTTTCCATTGTGTAGTTTTAGCTTCTTTGCCAAAGATCAGGTGGCCAAAGGTGTGTGGGTCTTCAATTTTATTCCATTGGTCTACCAGTCTATTTTCATGCCAATACCAAGCTGTTTTCAGGACTATAGCTCTATAGTACAGCTTGAAGTCAGGGATGGTGATGCCTCCTGAAGTTCCTTTATTGTACAGGGTTGTTTTGACTATCCTGGGTCTTTTGAGAATTGTTCTTTCAAAGTTTGTGAAGAATTGTCCTGGGGTTTTGATAGGGATTGCACTGAATCTGTAGATTGCTTTTGGTAAGGTTGCAATTTTTACTATGTTGATCCTACCTATCTAAGAGCATGGGAGATCTCTGGTATCTTCTTTAATTTCTTTCTTTAAAGACTCAAAGTTCTTGTCATACAGGTCTTTCACATGTTTGGTTAGATCGGCCACCAACCCTTTCCCTTTCTAATAAAACTTCTCACTAAGCTCTGCCTGCCTGGCATGTTTGCCTCTGCCTTGGTCACCCTCGCCTGCCATGGAATCTGCCAAGGTTCCCCTAGTGCTTATTCCTAACAGACACAGAGAAATGCCTCAAACGTCATAACTTCCCAAGCTTAGGTCCCAACACAAAACCCAACATGAACAGCCAAGTCAATATGCCTCTTCCAGAAGCCAGTAACCTCATGGCAGTTGGCCCCGAGAAATGCAATTTAGCTGAATCACAAGACAAGGACTCCAAAACAGACATTCTGAATGTGTTGAAGGACTTTATGGAAGATACAAATAAATCTGTTAATGAAGTCTGCAAAATATAAACAGTTGAATACAATAACGAAAACAAGACATGAAGGCAGAATCAAAGAAATAGAATCACAAAAGAAAACCCAAACTGAAATAAAACTGCAAATGAAAGACTTAGGATGCTGAACACAAACCTCACAGGTAAGACTCACCAAGATTTCAGGATGTGGAAGAGCAAGTCTCAGGTGTGAGGACAAGATAAAAGAAACAATCCCTCCATCAAGGGAAATGTTGGAACTGTGAACCACAAATAAGAGAAAAACATGCAGCCCTTGTGTTTCTAGGTCTGGATCACGTCACTCAAAATAGTATTTTCTAGTTCCGTCCATTTACCTGCACATTTCACTTCACTCTTAAAGTTGAATAGTATTTTGTTTTGTCTATGTACCGCATTTGCATTTAGGTCCTTCCATTTTGTAGCTATTGTGAATAGGCAGCAGCAAATATAGCCAAGCATGTATCTATGTAGTGGGACATTATGTCCTCCGTGGAGAATATGCTAAGAAGTACTATAGCTTTGTGGGAGCTCTCCACACTGATCTCCAGAGTGGCTGTTCCAGCAGTAAATCAGGGTTCCCCATTTCACCTTATCCTTAGCAGCATTTGACGTCAGTTGTTTTCTTGGTGTTAGCCATTGTGCACTAAGATGCAACCCAATCTATTTTGTCGTGTGTATTCACATTCATGTGCACAGAAACCACACTATATGCATAGATGTCACACGGCAGCTTGTGGAAGTTGGTTGTCACTTTCCGCCGTGTGGCTTCCAGGGACTGAGCTTGGGTTATCAGAACTGCCGACAAGTGTCTTTTCACTAGCCCCAATTTTAATAGCATTACTACAAATACTTGGAATTCTCCATGTAACTCTGTGATAAGCTCCCTTCCAATTGGACAGAGAGAGGAACTAAGATGTTGAGAGGGTTAGAAATAAGTGTAAGGGCGAGGACTCAAATCCAGACCTACTTAAGCTGAAAGCCCAGGAGCTAACCATTAAATTCACTACCTCATTTGACAGGTGATGC